TTCCCTCCCCCCTCCCCCCCCGCCTTGCGGGAGTCGCGCAGTCTGGGGCTCGGGTGTCCCTTGTCAAAATAGTGGAGATACTTTTCGAGCAGCGAAGAGACTTTTAAAGGAGGAGGAGGAGGGGGGGGGAGAGCGAGAGCTGGAAGAATAAAGGGCAGTCCTGGGCAGGGCTCCCTCTAAGCTGTGGAGTCTGGTGAGCAAAAATTCAACTTGGTGAGCTACTGGGCATTAAAGTTGTGAGCTCCTGCATCAATTAGTGTGCTCTGGAGCCCTCCTTCCTGAGCTAGGACAAAAATGTGTGAGCCGGAGGCTAAAAAACGGTGAGCTTGCTCACACTAACTCAGCTTAGAGGGAACACTGGACTAGAGCGCCCTAAGCTGGCCTGGAACTCCTGGGCCTTGCAGGAGAAACACGGAGCAGCTGCCCTCCCCCTCCCTCCCGCCTTGCGGGAGTCGCGCAGTCTGGAGCTCGGGTGTCTCTTGTCAAAGTAGTGGAGATACTTTCCGAGCGAACAGACTTTTAAAGGAGGAGGGGGGGAGAGAGCTGGAAGAATAAAGGGCAGTCCTGGGACTGGAGCGCCCTAAGCTGGCCGGGAACTCCTGGGCCTTGCAAGAGAAACGCAAGGCAGCGAGATGGGGGAGGGAGGGGGACGGTGCTAGTGTCCCATGTGCCAGGGAAGCCCACTTGCAGAAGTTGTCGAGGTCCTCTTTTCTGATTCCCTGCTTTTGCAGTGTCTACTTGTATGTAAGTCCCCCTGGCGTGCATTGGGATCAGGCTCTCTAGGAGGTGTCCTTAGGCTTGTCACTAGATTCAGGTGGGGCGGCCTCAGTGCTCCCTCTAAGCTATGCAGTCCAGTGAGCAAAAATGCTGCTTCGTGAGCTACTGGCTTTAAAGTTGCGAGCAGGTGATTTGGCTACTGCATAGATCGGTTTGCTCTGGAGCCCTCCTTCCTGAGCTAAGACAAAAGTGTGTGAGCCGGAGGCTAAAAAACGGGTGAGCTAGCTCACATCAACTCAGCTTAGAGGGAACACCGGTCTGCGTGTTGGTTTGAAGCAATATAACAAAGTTTGGGTCCTGTGGCACCTTTAAGACCAACCGAGTTTAATTCTGGGCATAAGCTCCGTGTGCATGCGCACTTCTGAAGAGCCGGGTAGCCTTGGTGTGCTGACACCCACCTCTTTGAAAAAGGGGAAGGATCGAGATTTATCCTGAAAGGTTTTCAGACGTTGGGTCGGGATCCCAAAATGGGGGGTGGTGCTCAGGCAGGTGGCTGAGTTATAAAGACCACAGCCCCCCTCCTCCTCATGACCTCAAAACCCACCTGCCTGAGCACCACCCCCCATTTTGGGATCCTGACCCACCTGCTTGGCGTGCAGAAGGTCCCAGTTCAATCCCCGGCATCTCTAGTGGAAACGATCAGGAGGTAGGGGATGGGAAAGCCCTCTCCATAAGTTCCCGGAGAGCTGCTGCCCGTCTGAGTAGACAATACTGACCTTCCTTGACCGAGGCTCGGATTCAGTATAAGGCACCTTTGTCTGTGATCCAGGAAAGGTGCCGGCAGAGGAGGCGGGAGAACCAATTTGGCTTTGCTTTGGGGCGTCGAGTGTGACTGGGGAGGACATCCCTGCCTGTGTCTGTTTTGCTGATTCTTGGTGAGGCTGTGCCTTTAAAAACACTACCAGTAAAGAGGCTGGTTCTGTGCCAGCTGGTGTGAGATTCTCTAGTTTTTTAAGTTGGGGAGGGGCGTGTCGGGTGATGTTGACTTGGCGAGTGGCTCCCCAGTGCTGAGTCCTGGGACTGGCTGGCTGCAGAAAGTGTGCAGACCGCTGCGGTGGGGCTGGTGGTACCAGAGGAGGGTGGGGAGAGGTCAACGGCAGAGGACCGTGTTCCCTTCTCATTCCAAGAACCTCTTTCTAGGGCAGAGGTTAAAAAGGCAGTGCGGAGTTTTTGGGTTTTTGGGTGGCTTTGCCTCGAGCGAGCCTCTCTGTCCTCCGA